TATATATATATATATATATAGATATACACGTCCAAAAATGATTAAGGTAATACAGATTTGTCTGGAAAGATGGAGATAAACCAGAATTGAATTGTACACTTTCATTGCTTTGTTGATGGTGATGGTTAGAGGTACACATAATTCTCTGAAAGAATACTGATCAAAAGATGCACTATTCAAAGAGAAAAATGTATTGGTAACTATGGCAAGAGACAGATTCTTACAACCTTTAAGAGTATAGCAAAACCATATGGAGACCTTTAAAGTATAGCTGAGTGGCTGTGCAACACCGTATGGGTACGCACAGTCCACGCTTGCGCAGTGTTTTAAAATCTAATTTTAAGATAGAAATTCTTGTTCTACTTATATTATTTTTGGGCACCCACTTTATAAGTAGACAGTCTTCCCTCCTGCATCATCTAACTGAATGCAGAGTCTGATGTCGCAATTCATGCACTTTGTCTGGATGTAACTCCGTTTCCCACATGAAGAGCACACACGACACCTCAGTCTCATATTAGAGGAAGTTGGCCAGTGATGTCGAGTGGCCTCCTCTAATTGTAACGCTTATAAAACATCGCAATTTCAACTATCCACCATGGCCTCATTTTGCATGGAAGAAACCAAAATTGAGAGGCCGCTGATAAATGACACCGATTCAGAATGCGGTACAGACAACTCTGAAAGTGGCGAGGAAGCAAGGGGGATATGTGGGGGTATTCCAAGAACAGTACCTCTGTGTGCCTAGTCCGAGATATACACAGTCAGAGTTTCTGAAGGCCAAAGCATGATAAGACTTCTCCCACGCTCATGCATAAAGAAAGGTTCCGACGTGACTGGAGAATGTGCAATACAAACATAAACTTCCTCCCCTTTTGCCAGATAAGACAGAGTAAGACAGGATGTCAGCAGCATGCATTTATACTGCAGAAACTGTAAGCATATTTGTGGACAGACGCTCGAATTGTGAAAATTTTTTTTGAAATCAGTGTAACAATTTTTACAGATTTTAAAATCTCTAATTATAATATCTGATTCTATATTCTTTCTAGATAAAAGCAGCGTTTATTTCGTTCGTTTATCAGAAAAATTGTAGAAATCACAGCATTTTCAGTAACATGCTTACAATTTGTAATACTCTACAATGGCGGACATTTAAATTAACTCTGGCCTGCTACCATTACGGGAATTTAAATGGCCCATCTCTTAAAGGTTAAATTCTCAGAATGCACTTATTTTTTTAAAACAGTGAATGAATAGAAGACCAACATCAAAACGTTTGTAACTTTTTAGAGTAAATGGGTCCATCAACACAACGTAAATATCTTCAAATGAAGATGAAAATAGATACTGTTGTATGACTATTAATGTAAAGGTGATCTACATGTTTCAACCTTTTCTAGGTCATCATCAGGTGTTACAAGAAAAATAAACCAAACTGTGAATCTAGTTGAGATTTCAACATGATACTGCTCTTTACCCTCTACCTCATTCAATTTCTTGAGTCTGAACCTCTCCATATGAACTATGTGTGTTGTCTGTTTACTCACTGCCAGTCTCTCCCTGACTTTTGCCACCACCAGGTAGTGGTATCAAAATCTGCTGCCCTGAATGATCCGACATCAAGTATACTTGAGTGCTGTCTCCTATCTATCAAAATATGGTCAATTTGGTGGTGCACCTTTCCATCAGGAGATGTCCAAGAAAATTTAGAATGTTATGATGTGGAAACACTGTACTTAAGATTTTTGGATGTGGCAAAGTTTACTACTCTAACTCTATTATTATTACTAATTTTGTGTGAACTCTGATTCCCAACTGTTGGTTTGAAAGTGTCTTCCCAACTTATCTTGGCACTGAAATCTCCTAACAGAATTTTCATTTGGTGTTTAAGGAATTTATTGAATACATGTTCAAGTTCTTTGTAGAACCTGTCCCTCATGTCACAAATTTTGTTCTCTGTTGGAACATGAACATTCAGAACAATATCATACCAGTGACATCCTATCACTGACAAACTATACCTTCTTAACTCTTACGTACGAAAAAAAAACTGTACCTAATTCATGATTCTCATTCTTTCTATAGAAAAATGTATATTTGCCTACTAGTTCAGTGCCACCTCAGTTCCATCTGACCTCCTGTACTCCTACCAAATCTAACTTATATTTTGATGTTTCTTCCACCACTGCCCTGAGCGAATCTGTCCTATATATACTTCTAACATTCCAAGATCCAAATCTCATGTCCATTTTCTTTCTCTTAGGTCATTTATCCAAAAAATCTGTCCAGATCCGAGGCTTCTTGTGATCTTTCGTAACAAGGAGTAGTTGGTCCCCCAACCCAGCCCCCAAGCTGGAGGATCACCCCTTGTCGGCTGCCGCGACTGTTTATTCAATATACCTCCAGCTACCCTCCCTATATGGAGACCATCTCCTCCATTCACAACCTGAGGTCATGCCATGGTGACAAGGGACCCACCTAACATGGGACATGTCATTAAAACTGGACATATCCAGTTATGTTCCATATGTCGGACATATGTTTCGGCTAATATTGCAGATGTTGGGGCACCCATGTCTTATCCCTTGGCTTGTAGTACTTTTGGTAAAACTGGAAGTACTACAAAGAAACTGATGCATATATTGACATACTAGTTAAACTAACTTCATGGAGCTGAGCCCTTCTTGAGAAGCCACCAATTGGGCAGCTACTCAAGAGCTTCCCAACATTTTATGGAACCCGAAGGTTTATTACCATGTTGACAACAGCACTTTACTAGTTCCATGTTATACTCATCACAACACAGCGTGGCCTGAACAATTGGACGACAACACTAAAGAGTCCAATTCTTCAAACAATGGAACGATGATGTGGAATACATTCATCTTCCTTTAAAGAGAAGAAGTATAAAGGACAGAACCCAAATTGGTTCCAGATTTTAACAAAAAGTTTTTAAAACAATACTTTGTAAATAGGCTAATTATAATAATTTATGAATGTTTTAACAAATTTATGCACATTTTAGTAATTGTTAAAGGATATAATACTTTATATCTATGACACTGTAACAGTAGTTTCTGTATCTATTGATAATGACCTATGACATTATAACAATAGTTTTGGCATGGATTGATAATGTCCTTCTGAAGATGGTTCTTCATGTTCTTGAGTGATGATGCTTTGCCACTTTTTAAGAAAATGAAATACTTGTCCATTCCTGTACATATTCAGGTATTTATATTTAACGTTTTAGTCAGTATTTTTAATTTGAACAAAAAAAAAATAAAAATTCTGAAGTCACACACACACACACTCTCACACTCACCTCCCCCCCCTCTCTCTCTCTCACACACAAACTTGTACTTCTAAATCTTGAACATTTTCTTTGATGCAACCCCATGCAAGAATGTGGATGCCAGTCAACCACACCATCATGGATGATTTGTTTTTTTTTTTTTTTCTGAAAATGGCTGTTCAAGGAGGGAAGCCAATGTGCTGCATCCACATACCCTCATAAACAACATTAGGCAGTACATTTTAAAATAAAAAGGGGAAGTGTTCTTTCAAGGAAATCTGTGTATTTGACTCCAAAGACATAGTTCACTATTTATTATATATTGTCATGTACGAGTGGTAGCATGACTGATAATTGTGGGTTCTAGATTTGATGGCTAGATTTATTGGACGTCTCTATTACAATTACACTTGATTACAACAGTTCACACATTTAACTCCTCCTTGATAACGAGCCTCTCACTGTTGTCTGGATCTTGCACTGGTGTCTAGCCTCTATTCTTCTACCTGAACTCTCTCATAACTCAGCTGAAACTTGCATATCACTCCATTGTGACTCATGGTGCATTCCTTTATAACTGTTAGGCAGCCGTGATAGAAGACACTGCCTCAAAGGGTCTGATCTTTGAGATCATATTGTGTTGGAAACCACTGTAGTTACCACAGTAACCAAATCTGCTGCCTTGTATTTGATCACAGAATAACCCTCAGAACGTGTGTAGCCAATCATTACCTAGCAATGGCAGTCTTACTTCACTTCATTGTGGGAACAATGTTTACCCAGCCATTGGCTAGCACTGGACGTTTTCTTCAACTTTGATATTCTAGCACAAAAGTTGACACTGAATCTTTGTGGAAAAGAAGAATGTGAAGCAGCATGAGGATTCTCCAGTCGGTTATGGAGACTTTTAACCCCATTCCTGTGAATGATGCTTCATCAGTCCACAATAAATGGCACAAAATATCAGGTTCATTCACAATTTTGGGCAATACAGTAGGAGCTTTCTCTTGTGACTTGTCATGGCTCCCTTACATGAGCATAAAAAATGTGTGTGAAACCTCACAACTCTGAAACTGTGGGGAAAAACTACTATTCGTCTATGTTTTCTGCTCCAAATTATCTCAAAATTCTCTTAAAGTTTAGCCATATGACTCTGAATCATCCTGTCTACAACAATCCCTCACCAACCACAATCTTCAAGCATCCACTTTTCCATTTGTAGCCAGTGGTATTTGGTTTTATGTATCTGTGGTTTTCAATTTTTCTATACAAGGAAAAAATCAGTGGCTTTCTCAATAACCGATCTACTGTACATATGCTGTGCTCAGGACTATAGCAAACTGAATCCAGTCTGCATGTTCAAAACCCATTTCCAAGATTAATTTTAATACTACCAACCAACATATGTCTTGGTCTCCAAATAGTAACTTTTCCCCGTACAGTGAGATATATGTACTTAGTCTCTAATGAGTATTAACAGCAGTCAGTGATCATCTAACACTAACATCATTTCCCAACAAGACTTTGGTCTTGCCTACTGCAATGTTTTTCAGGCATACAAACCCCACAGTTGGCAAGGAATTTCTTGACTTTATATTTATGACTGCAAAGAGACTTAAATTTGTCGGTTCACAGATCCTCAACCAAATGTTATTCCTCAAAACTGGATTACCTCAATTCCTTCACTCCCAGTATCCAAAAGATCTGCAAATACTGATACAAACTGGCCTGTCATCAAACGCTGCCTCAAAACTTGAACTTCGGCCACATTTCCCAGCAATCCCATCATGTTGCGAAGCAGTTCTTCCCTGTGAGGAAATGTCTGTAGAATATAATAAAATATTTACAAAATTACCATATCATGCAGTACTGCAGGGAACACTGGTAAATTAGATCTTGGTGGGTGTACAATTAATTTAGCTATTCTATATGCCAATAATCCAAAATGTGCATGTTCTCATGTATACTAAAGATTTTTTTTTGTTCTAAGAAACGAGATTTACTCCTTACAAGGCCTTGGGGAGCAAATAAGCACATATTAGGCTATAATATTGTGAAATGACACCTGAAAGCCGGAACACTGGAGCCACAGCAAACTTTCATCGCTAGGCAATGGCTCGGTAAACACGTTCCTGTGGCAACAACTACGCAAGCAACAATCGAAGAACTGCTGTCTCTATGAGATGGTGAGGTAAAGACACCTAACAACATAAGAATTGTTAGGAAACTGTGTTTTCTGCTGGGGCCAACAGTAGGCTATATAATGAGGATTACAGGCCAACTAGAATGAGAACTGAGGGAGCCTCTTGGACCAGCAGTCAAATATGATTGAGAAGAGATGGCACCGAGATAACTGCAGCTGCAACAGAGAATTTGATTCAGAGTTCTGGAGTTGGCAGTTGACAGATGATGGAGGAATTGAGAGAGTTCAGTTGAGAGCTGAAAGTCCAGCAGTGAAGGTAAGTCTTCATGTGTGCTATAATACTGTAACGTGGATGCCCAAAGTGTCTTGGCAATGGCTCGATAAACACACACAACAATAAAATGGTGTTATGCAATCTGTTTCTAAGCAACGGAACTGTAAGCACAGGTACATAATCGAGAAACTGTTTTCTGTGGGGTCCGTGCTGAAAAGATATGAGAGACTATGGGAGTGGGAACTGACTTCATTTCAGTTCTGATGTTCTAAGGGAACAGAAGACAAATTAGAAGACTCACTGCATGATGTTACATGTGCTATAGTTACAGTAATCTTGAGAGTGTAAGAACTGACTGTAGTTATGACTAGTGAAGATCCAATAAACCGATTCATCAATCCAAACCCTCATCTTAGTCACAGAAATAGGTGACAATTGGTGTTAGGAGTGGTAAGGATTGGATCGGACTGAACCAAATTCATTCATTCATTCATTCATTCATTCATTCATTCATGAGTAATCTGTCAGACGACAGGTCCACAGTCTCTTCCAAAACACTTGATGCCACTTGATCCTCCATTTGATGCCATCTAGAGCTTTCTCCTTCAAATGAGAATATCCTCTTCTGTCCCCAACATAATCCAGCATCTTCTTACGTCTTCTTCCTCATCTTCTGGTCACTTTTATCCACCCCTCTATCTTTCCTTCAATAACTTCTTTTAGAAGGCAGTTACTGCATAAGATAAGACCCAATCCAATTAGCCTTCCGTTTTCTTATTTCGTGTAGGATATTCCTCTGCTCACTGACTCTAAATAACACTTCTTCATTTCTCATATAATCGGTCCAACTGATCTTCTCCATCCTTCTCCAGCACCACATTTCGAAACTTTCCAGATGTTTCTGATCTACTGCCCTAAGTGTCCATGTTTCAGCCCCATACAAAGCAATGCTCCAAATGTAGCATTTCACTAGTTTCTTTCTCAAATTTAAGTCCAATTTGCTGGTAAAAAGATTCTTCTTCTTGCTAAATGCAGCTTTTGCCATGGCAATCCTAGATTTAATTTCACACATACACCTTCCATCATCTGTTAACAAGCTACCCAAATATTTAAAACATTTCACAATCTCCAGTTGTTTTTGGTCTATCTTTATTGTGACTGGGGTTGATTGTCTTGAAATTTTCATTACTTTTGTTTTTTCCACATTCATTTCCATGTCATAGCACCTTCCAATTTTGATTAGTCTATCAATCATACCCTGTAGCACAGTTTCTTCCTTAGACATTAAAACAAGGTCATCTGCACATTTCACAGTTTGAATAATTTGCCCTCCTAATTTGAAGTCAGCCGGTCACGGTAGCCAAGCAGTCTACAGCATGCACTGCCTTCGCTCACTCCCAAGCCGGGATCATGGGTTCGAATCCCACTCAGGGCACGGATGTTTGTGTGCGTTTTTGTTTGTCTACAGGTAGAGACCTTGCGACAAGCTGATCACTTGGCCAAGGAGTCCTACCATATGTGTAAGATCTAGAAAAACCGAAGTGAACAGAGTTCATGGAGGTAGGCCTAGGCCCACTGGGGCTGTAGTGCCAAGGAAAAAAATATTTGAAGTCTCCAAGCCCATCCAGAGCTTCTTTGGTAAGGCATTTGCTGTACAAGTTGAACAAAATTGGTGATAAGCAGCATCCTTGTCGAACTCCTCTTCCAATCTTCACACTTCTTGTCTCCCATCTGTCCAGTCGCACTCTAACTTTCTGATCCATGTACAATTTACTAATCAATCTTCTTTCACGCCAATCGATACCTGTTTCCTTTAGGATCTGCATTAATTTGGTCCAATTTAAACGGTCAAATGCCTTCTGCCAGTCTATAAAGCAAGCACACAGTTCTTCATCTATCTCCAAAGTTCGTTCTGCTATAATTCTCATCATCCCAATTGCATCCCTGGTTCCTTTTCCTCTTCTAAATCCAAACTGATCCTCTCCAAGTATATCCTCTATTTTCCTTTCAATTCTTCTTTTAAGTATCTTTGCTATTATCTTTGCTGTATGTGCAATAAGGCTTATTGTGCGATGGTCGCTGCATTTTGTAGCTTTTGTCTTTTTCTTTAAGGCAATCATTGTAACTTCTGTAAAGTCCTTGGGCCACTCTCCACTTTCATATATGGTGTTCATTAGTTTTGTCAGTGTTTTCAAACCACCTTCTCCCAGTAACTTGAGCACATCTCCAGGTACATCATCATCTCCTGTAGCCTTTCCCTTCCTCATTTCCTTGATAGCTTTTTCCACCTCACTTTGTAAAATATATGGTCCTTTCTCGTCTGTATCTACTTCTTCTTCCGGTTCAACTTCTAAGGTTTCTGGCCGATTAGGTCGATCATATAGTTCTGAAATATAATTTTCCCAAATTTTCAGCACTTGCCTCTGATCTACTATTCTATTCCCCTGGGAGTCTTCGATGCCAACATTTTGAATCCCATGATTCTCTTTCCATCCTAGTTCTTTTGTCTTCATGTACATCAAATCATAACGGCCTGTTCTTTGAAATTCCATAATCTCATTACATATCTTCTCAAGATATTCCTTTTTGGCCCTGTCCGTGGCTCTTTTCAATTCATTCCTCAGTCTCCTGTATTTCCTCCTGCCTTCTTCATTGTTGACATTCTTCCATTTCCTTCGCTCCTCCATTTTACTCATCATCTCCTGTGTAACCCATGGTTTTCTTGCTATCTTCTCAACTTTACCTACCAAATCACTGATAGTATCTAACATGCATTCTTTTATATCGTTCCACTGCGCTTCAGCATTTCCGCTTTCACCTTCAATTGCACCGAGTTTCTCTTCTAGAGTCTCTTGCACGCTTTGTCTTTGAGCATATAACTTCTCCAAATCCCATCTGGGTCTGCGCTTTCGAAATCCTATAATTTTCTTCAACCTGGTTCGGAACTTGGCAACCAGCAAGTTGTGGTCAGAGTCAATGTCTGCCCCAGGAAGCGTCTTCACATCCTTCACACTGTTTCTGAATCGATGTTTCACAAGGATGTAGTCCAGCTGATGCCGCCTCCAATCCCCAGGTGCCTTCCATGTGTAAAGTCTTCTCCTTGGCTTCTTGAACCAAGTGTTGGTAACAATGAGTCCATTTCTTTCACAGAAGTCAATAAGCATTTGACCCCTGTGATTCTGTCTTCCTAGTTCATGTGATCCAACAATATTCTGATATGACTGAACCAAATTATTGGGTTGAAAACTGCATTGTGTAGTTATATCACCACATTATAGAGATGAATAAGCATGGCAGATTTCAAAAGTCTGGACCTATGATGGAAGAGATGAGAGAAGACATGTACACTCATTATGAAAGGATGATCACCATAATAAAGACCGGCCTGGAAGAAATGAAAGCAATAGCAGAGCATCAGGAGTTCCCTAGGAAGAGGCTGCAGTGATATCTTTGGGAACAATAAAGAAGCATCACAGGGCCTGGCATCCAGCTGCAGGGCGATACAGAGAGCCAAAGGGACTGACCCAAGGAGAGTGTGGACCCTGGAGAAAGTTGGCTGCTGCCTGAAGGAAGGGGTCCTGCCGTGCAGCAGTGGCATGGTGCAAGCAAAACGTCTTAAGGAAAATATGGAGCCAGGGAAATTGTGGACCATGGAAGGAACTGGCCACAGCCAGCAGGAAGATGACCCGCAGTAAAAAAGTGGTAAGATGCAGGAGACACAGGCTTCAGAGACAAGGAAGAGATGATACTGCACCGAGAACCCAGAGAGGACAAACAGAGGAGGATAGACTCTGGAAGAACCCAGAATGCAAAAATGGCATAAGGAACTGAGGTGTGAGACAGCAGCTACAAGGCAGAATGAGAATAAAGAACCCAGGAGCAAGACTGCAGATACAATACAAGAGGAAATTCAACAAGACCCTCAAGAAGGCTGGAGATCGGGAAATATGCAGTTGGGATTTCCAGTGTGTTATGAAGAATGAGGAATTGGAAATTGTGGAGGGATCAGCCCCTTCTGAAGTGGAAAAAAGAAGCATAGTTGGCATAAAAGCTGCTGGAAATGTGGGAGCACTGACGACTTTAGATAGTTTTGCCCCCACAAATGGGAACGACAAAAGGACAGTAAAAGGTTGGACACACGGCTCATCCATAACCTTATCAAGGTACTGCTCGGGACACCGCATTTGCGGAGGGAGTGGTGGTAGTGGATGGAGAATGGTCACCACAACCCGAAAAAGAAAAATCCAACAAGAGGAAACACCAAGCCAAAGAAAAAGAAGACGTTGCAAGCACAGCCCTCGGAAGAAAAGGAGCTGTGATACACTATTAGGCTATTCAGGACGAACAGCCTTCAGGAGGGAGTATGTAACATGGATGTCTGAAGTGTTTCTAGGCAATGGCTCAATAAACACGTTCTCATGAAATGTGCAACAATAAAACCGTGTTATTCAATCTGTTTCTAAGCAATGGAACTGCAAACAAGGGTACATAACAGAAAGACTGTTTTCTGCGGGTCGGTGCCAAGAGGATATGAGAGACTACGGGAATGGGAATCAACTTCACTTGAATTCCGATGCTCCAAGGGAACAGCAGTGTGGCCAGAAGAAGAATAAGAAGATTTAGTATGTGACGTTACATGTGCTATAGTTACAGTAATCTTCAGAGTGTAAGAACTAATTGTAGTTACTAGTGAAGATCCAATAAACCAATTCACCAATCCAAACCAGCATCTTAGTCATAGAAGTACATGACAGTACAGCGATATTTGTAGCATGTGCTGTAGTGATACGAAGGGCGTTTCGTATCTAATGCCTCCTATTTTGTCGTGTTAATATGTAACATCTGAGCTGGATGTTGGTGGTGTTGTAGTAAAGGTTGAACCTTCCCGCCGATGTACTGTTAGTTTGGTTGTCATGCAACAGATAGCGACAGCAGAGCAGTCTACCAAAATGGTGTCTGTCATAGAAGTGCGTACAAAACAGAGATGTGTTATTGAATTTCTCACTGCTGGACAAATTGCACCCATTGACATCCACTGATGCTTGATAAAGGTGTACGGAGAAGATACAGTGGATGTCAGCACAGTGAGGCGGTGGGTAGTGCGTTTCAACAGTGGCGAAAGTGAAGTGCTCAGCTGCCACTCCTCACAATGAACAGCACCTTGATCAGCTCATCTGTATAGATCGGCGGATAACGACCAAGGAACTGTGTGCACGGCTTAATATCGGCTGTAATGCATTGGAAACGATGTTGGGGAAGCTGGATTATCGCAAAGTTTGTTCCAGGTGGGTCCCTTGGATGTTTACACAGGACCACAAAACTCATCAAATGGAAGTCTGTCAGGACCTGTTGCACCAGTCTGAGGCTGAAGGTGACAAGTTTCTGGACAGCATCATCACTGGAGATGAGATGTGGTGTCACCATTACGAGCCGGAATCCAAAAGACAGTCCATGGAGTGGAGACATCCGGATTCCCCAAGAAAAAAGAAGTTCAAGACACAGCCATCGGCAGGGAAAGTGATGTGCACATTCTTTTGGGATAGATGGGATGTGATTTTGTTGGATTTCCTGGAGTCTTGTGAGACTGTCAATTCTGAACGCTACAAGACAATGGCTGACTAAGCTGAAAGCCCGCATTTCCCGAGTCAGGCCAGAGAAGCAGACAAACTTTCACTTGCAACATGATAATGCTAGACCCCATACCAATTTGGCGACCACCACGCACATCGCAAAGTTTGGCTGGACTGTCCTACCACATCCACCTTATAGCCCCAATTTAGCACCTTCAGACTTCCATCTCTTTGGGCCTATGAAAGACGGACTACGTGGGCAACATTTTCCAGACAACGATGCTGTCACTGCAGCTGTAAGAAAGTGGCTAGCCTCTGCTGGTGCAGACTTTTACGGGTGCAGCATACAGACTCTTGTTCATCACTGGCAAAAGTGTATAACGAATGGGGGTGATTATGTGTAAAGATAACTGTAAGTAGCTGAAATCTTGCTCTATTTAACTGCGTTATTATGCTTTCTGCATCCATTTTAGTTTTCATTAAAAAAAATAGGAGGCATTATATATGGAACACTCCTCGTACTATTATATTTCCTGTCTTAAAATCTGTTACCAGGGAAAGAGTAGTGGAGAGTGTAACAGACTGAGAACACCAGTGTTGTGTAACGGTGAACTGTAAGCAACAGTACTGTAAATACCTGTACTTCCAAGTGTTGTGTATATGGTGTCAATATCCATTACATCTGTGCTAAGCTCAGTGACCATGGAAGAAGTCTGTTACATCAATTTTCTTATTAGTTTACTAACAGTAAGCCTACAACTAATTTCCCTGTGCCTAAAACAGGTGTAGCATTGTGCTCAGAAATTTACATTCAACAAGAACTATATTAAATTCAGAATGATGATGTGTGAAAGAAAATCTCTGAATCTGTTGCATTTTCCTACAAAGGATTCAGGAAGACTGAAATGCATACTGTTATGTCAGATAAAATATTACAGTGTAGAAAGAAGCAAAGAAGAATTTTACAAACATAAGCTGTACAATATATTGAACACCTCTGTCATCTGATATAGAACACCATGTGGCCTGCTGAAAGTCAACCAACATTTCAGAGGAACATTTTGCCTCGTCTTCAGGGTTCAAGTGCAAGTCAAGCAAGGAACCAGCATGAAGAAGGTAGCAAGTAAAGACTGCCTGCTTCACACCGTTTCTTACTTGACTTTCAACAGGCTGCATGGTGTTATATCCCAGAAGACAGAACTCTTCATGGCCACAATTATGAGAACCTAATTCTAAATATTAATATTTGGTTCAACAAATCATAATTATCTTTCAAAACTACAACAGACAGGATTTCACAACCGTGAATGTCAGATCAGTCTATTCTGAGATATGAGGCCATAGAGTTTGGTAGATAACTTCCTTCCAGAAGCCCCATAATATACAAACAGTTTATGCAATTCATCTTGTAGCATACAGTACCTAGGAATTCTGGCAAATCAAGGAAAAGAGTGGATCACTTGAGGTGCATCAGTCAGGAGTTCCAATACCAACTAATAGTTTCTTATATAGTAAGGTGAGGAGTGGCAACAATGATCTGGTTTAAATGCTCAAAATTTACCGACAGTAACTTACATTTAAGCATCCAAGAAAGAATTCCATGCCTCTACCATCCAGAAATCTCTGACAGTTGATAGCAGTTTCATCTGTCACATTCCACATCGTTGACCATGCAACTTCCAGTGCATCATCAAAAACTTTCCTTGCTAGTCGGTCCTCAATAAGAGTCAACATTTGCTGAAAAGATAATTCACTTCAATTATTATTAGATTTTAATGAAGAACTGGGAAAAATAGTGTTTTATATTTTTGTATATATTTTCAAAAGATTGCATTCTTTTGGGCTATGCACTCTGGACATTTAACCTTCCATGCTTATGGTAGAAGAATTGTGACAAGCCACTGTGAAGTTCTAATTTCATTTTCAACACTGCAATCTCTACACATTTTACTTGTAACATAAATTAAATTACACTGATAGCTCCAAGATCACCCAAGAGTTGCTTCTGCACTCCATCCACCTGGCAGGCCAACAAGTTGAGGAGGTAAATTCCAATTCTCTGTACAAACCCCCCTTGCTCCATCTCCGATACAATGTGCAGCAAGATGTGCACAAGCCGCTCATAGTCAAACAGCTGTTGCAAAAAAAAACAGGATAATCATATTTAAATAAAGAAACACTTCATGTGCACAATAACAATATCAGATATATAATGTCTAGTGACCGACTTCATGTAAGAAATTTGTGGTCCATGGATTCCAAAATTAACCAAGGATATCATGAAAGTGACACCATTTGAAAGCTGGCAACCAACAAGTATGAAAAGTATATGCCTCTGTCAATTTACTTTCAGGTTATGAATCAGATGTCACTTTCAGAAGTTGTCTTTTAACCATTCTAATGTGAACATTCTCTTAATAGGTAAATTAACACTAGTCCCAAAAATATGGTAAGAAAAAATGAAAAATTACTTCTAACAAATGAAAAGTGTATAACAGCAGAGAAAGGAAAGATAATAATGTAATGGAAGATAAAATAATTATTGTTTTCTGTTAATATACTTTCCTTCTGTATCATCCTTCTTGAAATTTCTATAATACAAAGCATTTATGAGAGGCATTCTTCTTTAAAGGTGGACCACATACCAACATCATGGATTTTCTTCATATGCACAAGAAGCTACAAAACATCCTGTGATTCTCACGCAATGAAACAATTCTGTATGGCTTATAATGAGACCTTTGTTATAACAAGAAAGAAAAATATAGGCAATTTCAATGTGATAATGTTAATATATGGATAAGGCTGCGCCATAGCTCAAGCGGTTAGTCGTTGGCTTCCCACCGCGGCGGCCTGGGTTCGATCCCGGGTCTGGTCAAGTTGGATTTGTGGTGGACAAAGTGGTGCTGGGACAGGTTTTCACCGAGTACTTCGGTTTCCCCTGCCAATCTTCATTCCACCAATTGCTCCACAATCACCCTCACCTATCATCTCGGGCTGGTACAATAGGCCAGAAGTGGCTGCAGTACAAGGACTTAGTCCCACCCCACTAGCAATAATAATAATAATAATAATAATATACGCATAAATCTCAAATAAAACGAGGAAATTTTTCCCACCATGTACAGATACATCTCAGAATAAAAATACATAGATTATGTCCGGCATGTCCAACGTGTCGCTTGCGGGACTTTTTTTGGTCGATCTCATAGGCCTATATGGAAATTATACATGAAGAGCATGTAAATTCACTTGTAATATAAAATAAGAAAGAGATCATAGCTATTATTCAAGATCTTCAATTATCAAGAAACACCACTATAAGGCGAAGAGAAATGATGTGTGGAAACATAACTGAACAGTTGTTGAAAGATGTTTCCAATTGTGTTGCTTTCTCCCTCCAACTGGATGAATCTACAGACGTCAGAGACACAGCCCAGTTACTAGCTGCTTTTACAAGTATCATGTGTCGTGTTATTTTTACCAATATTTTTGCTTAAAGCGGGGTATGACGATAGGAAGGGGTGGTAGATCACTGGCAGTTTTGACATTAAAAAGTCGATCACAACCTGTTTGAAGGTGGACATGCCTGGATTATGTGATATGTCTAGCTACGCATGATATGGACGTCTCCTTAGGGAAAAACAGGACATGTGTTACCACAGATGATAGTAACATACACAACTGTAAAATGTTAAAAAGGAAAGAAAGAAAGAAAGAAAGAAAGAAAGAAAGAAAGAAAAGGTGGAACAACATGGACATAAGCTGTATATGAAGGGCGTTCCATATAAAATGCCTCCATTCTTTTGTGTTAATCTGTAATGTCTGAGCTGGATGTGGGTGGTGGTGTACTCGTACATACACAAAGCTTCTTTTTGTTGCCTGATTTATTCAGTGATCTGACAGGAAATTAAATCTGTTGTTGCATAGGCAGTCAGACCTATTAATATCACACTGCCCGCTTCTTACAGGTTTCTTGTTTCAGCCATTCTGCAGCCCTGAAGATGGAGGCAGTTTCTTACTCCAAAACACAGGTGGCCTTCCACTGGACTACACTGTCATATCCCAGAAGACATTACACTTCACAGTCTCTGGTTGCAGCAGATATCTTCCCAGTTTATTGCTTGGCTGATCCTCAACATTGAAGATGGAGACAATTATACTCCTCTGATATGTTGGTGCACTTTTACTGGGGTATACTATATTATATGCAAGAAGACAGTACTCTTCATAGCCTCTACTTGCCTCTTGTGTCCTGCTGGTGTCTTTGCCTGGCCCACTTTTTGACCATGAAGATCGAGGCCACAAATCCCTTTGAAATGCCAATGGATTTCTACCAGACCACAGTGCATTACGTCTCAGAAGACAATATGCTTAAAGAATTATTTTGCTTGATTCCTGCAAGGACACTTCAGAGTAATTCCAAGGAAAGGAGCTTACTGTTTGCCAGGCCATTTTCAAATAGAATTTAAAGACTGGGGTATGGTCTGGTAGGCTTTAAACATACAATACCCTACACCTCTCCCTTGTTTGGGAAAAAGAAGACTGCAATCCAAAATCTGAGAGCTCCAAGTCTGAAGATCTTTTATCTGCATGAGGCAGAAATACTTAGAATGCAGGGCCATTCTAATTCACAACTGAAAAACACTGGCCAATGGTAGCAAATAAAATAAATTATATAAGCATGAGAAAATCACCATTTCCTTGTTTTGGGTACCACTTAAGACATCAAGAATGTTGAATTATTCTATTTTATGATAACATTGCTCTATTATTGTCTGTAGACAACATAAAATCCATTTTATATTGTAATGTGCTTGGAGTAGATACTTCCATGACAACGCAATAACAGTGGGCCACTGCGTAGACAATGCCGAAACAATGAACGCGTTTCCGCAGAGATGAACAATAGAAGGCCGTTGAGTACCAACGGATGAGACGAAACATGTTACCGCCGTAATCTATAGATATCACTTTTTGTGGGTGTAGTGGTGATTCAGCAATCTCATGTGGGTTTTCAGACTCCCAGATCCTGGAATTTTGTGCACTTACATATCCTGATAGGTGGAACCATGCCTCATCACTAAACCAAGTGATATCCAAAATTCTGGGGTTATCACGCACGAATTCCAGAAACCATAAACAGTACCATACCCGTTTATTTTTATCAACATCACCCAATTCCTGAACACTGGTGATCTTGTAGGGACGAAGATTCTCTCTTTGCAGCCCGTTGACACATTGAATAAGAATACCCGGTTTCCTGGCTTAGATGTCGTAATGATTTCTTGGGGCACTGCAGTAACCTGTTCCGCACAATTGCAATCGTTTCTTCTGGCATTTCTGGGTGGTTTTTACCACATTCACTTAAAAGTGTCCCTGTCCTTTCCAATTTCTGAGCCAAGGACTGTATAGTCGATTTCGCTGGCTTCTTGCAAACTATAAGCTTTCTCCTGAATTCCAATTGTGTGTTCGCAATTGGGCCTGTCACCCAGTACGTGCGTAAGAGAAACACTCACTGTTCAACAGTGTACTCCATGGCCATCACATGCGCACTGCAGACACGTTTCGGGATTGTCCTTGACCTTGCAGCATAAGGGCTGCCACTTGCCGGATCATGCACACACCATTCAACTCAGCACGGCCCACAAATTATTATGTCACAATTGTGAGCGGTTATATGCATCACATGCAGAATTATTAGCAAATTCATCAGGCCGGTTCTATACGATTCACCCTGTAGTTTACCTAATTGTTTTGAAATTATTCTATATTATGTGTCACTGTAATTACCTAAGCTAAAGAAAATGAATATGAGATTTGGGACATGTAATGTCAGATAGGTTTCATCAGGACAGTGGAGGAAGAAATCCTTAAATTATAAGTTAGATTTTGTGGTTGTATAGGTCAGATGGGACATAGATGACACCGAATGAGGTGAATATACATTTCTCTATGGAAAGGGGAATGAGAATCATGAATTAGGTACAGGTTTTTTGTACATAAGAGAATCATATCAGCAGTTAAGAGGGTAGAGTCTGTTAGTGACAGGATATCATACATGATACTAGGTCACCAGTGATATCATTGCTCTGAATGTTCATGCCCCAACAAAGGATAAAACTGATGACATGAAAGACGGGTTATATGAAGAACTAGAACATGTATTTGATAAATACCCAAAATACTACACAAAAATTAGGTTAGGAGACTTCAATGACAAGGTAGGCATGGAGACATTTTCAAACCAACAGCTGGGAACGAGAGGTTGCACAACATTAGTAATGATAATGGAATTAGAATAGCAAATTTTACCACATCCAAAATACTTTTTGTCAAAAGTACAATGTTCACACATTGTAACACTCATTATTTTACACAGACAGCTCCTGATTGAAAGACGTACAACCAAATTCATCATATTTTGATATATGGGAGACAACATTAAAGTTTACTTATGTCTGATCATTCAGGGCAGCAGACTGATACTGACCACTATCCGGTGGTGGCAAAAGTTAGGGAGAGACGTGAAGTGAGTAAACAAACAATGCACACAGTTCACATGGAAAGGTTCAATCTCAAGAAATTAAATAAGATAAAAGGTAAAAAGTAGTATCGTCTTGAAATCTCAAAAAGATTCACAGCCTTCAAAAACTTAGACACTGAGGTGGATATTAATAGAGCTTGTGAAACTGTTAGAGAGAATGTGAACATTTCAGCCAAAGACAGTCTTAGTTATCATGAACTGAAGGAACATAAGCCATGGTCCAAAGAAGGATGCTCAAAATTCTTAGACAAAAAAAAAACCAAACTGCAGTGGTTACAGGATCCAAAGGAATTTAATCTGAAAGACAAAATTAATGAGCTTGCAAAAAACAGTTAGAACATGAATATTAGAGTCCTGTATAGAGAAATAAATGAATTAAGGGGGAGTTACCAACATAGAAGTAACTTAATGAAGTATGAGAATGGTGGTCTACTTGCAGATTCTGACATTTTGATTAGGTGGAAGAACTTCTCTGTTATTGAATGCACATAAGAGTCAGTGATGTTAGGCAGAAAGAAATACATACAGCTGAGCTGTTAGTACCTGATCCTAGTCCTTTTGAGGCTGAAATTGCTATTGCAAAGTTGAAAAGGTACAAATGGCCAGGTAGTGTTCAAATTCTGGCAAGAACTGATTCCAGCAGGAGATGAAATATTGCATTCTGAGATCCATAAGCTATTTCATTTCATTTGGAATAAAGAAAAATTGCCTGATCTGTGGAAGGAGTCTATTACAAAAAGGGTGTTAAAACTGGCTGCTGTGAATATAGAGGGATATCAATTTTATCAACTTCACACAAAATTTTATCCAATATTCTTCTCTCAAAATTAAGTCCACATGTAGATGAAATTATTGGATATCATCAGTGTGGTTTCCAATGTAACAGATCAACTAATGATCAGATATTTTGCATTCATCAGATGTCTGAAAAAATGGGAGTACAATGGGACAGTTAGTCAACTATTCATAGACTTCAAGAAAGCCTATGATTCTGTTTGGAGGGATGTATTGTACAATATTCCCACAGAGTTGGGGTATCCGTGAAACTAGCTAAAAATATGTTTACACCAAATGTGCAGTAAAGTCTGTGTAGGTAAACATCTGATAATTTTACTATCCAGAATGGTTTAAAACAAAGAGATGCTTTATCGCCCCTACTTTTCAAATTTGCTTTAGAATATGCCATTAGGAAGGTCCAAGAAAACTAGGTGATACTGAAATTAAATGAGACACACCAGCTGCTGGCCTGTGTTGATGATATGAATCTACTGGGTGATAACATAGATGTCATAAAGAAAAGCACAAAATCTTTAATTGGCGCTATTAAGGAGGTGGGTCTAGATGTAAACACAGAGAAAACAAAGTATATGTAGCTGTCTCATTGAGAATGCAGGGCAAAATCAAAACACAAAGAGAACTAACAGATCTTTTGAAAATGTGGCACAGTTCAAATGTTTGGGAACGACTGTAACAAATTAAAACTCGATTAAAGAGGAAATTAAGAGGAGACTGAATTCGGATAATGCATGCTACCATTCAGTCCACAACCTTTTGTCTTGTCTGCTGTCTAAAAACATAAATATCAGAATGTACAAAACTATAATTATGCCTACGGTTATGCACGCATGTAACCTTGGTCTCTGACATTAAAGTAGGAACAGGGACTGAGGGTACTTGAAAATAGGTGCTGAGGAGAATAATTGAACTGGAGAGAGATGAAGTGACAGGAGGTTGTAGAACACTGCAGAAAGAGGAGCTTCATAACTTGTACTCTTTACCACATATAATTAGAATGATGAAGTAAAGGAGTATGAGATGGGCAGGACATGTAGCTCAAATGGGGGCAAAGAAAAATGCATATAGGATATTGGTGGGAAAGGCAGAAGAAAAGAGACCACTAGGAAGACCAAGACATAGGTGGATGGACAATATTAAAATGGATCTTTGAAAGACAGGATAGGGTGGTCTGGACTTAATCCAAGAAGGGCTCAGCTCCATGAAGTTAGTTATTTATGTCTTACTGTAGCGCAATATGAGGCAGACTGAAGCACTTTTCAAATGTTTTATTTTTTCATTTTCCCTCTCTTTTTATTGTTTCACTTGAATATTTAGTATGCTTAAATTTGTTCTCATAATTAGTTTTCTGCAATTATTGTAGTCTGACAATGCCAAAAGTTAGAGAAAAATGGGGGTCTCACTGTGGACCCATCTGCCTTACATCCAACTAAAATTACCGATCACGATAACGATCATAACAGATCTAGCAACATCAAAGAACGCGGAAGAACAGTGAGACCTCACAAATAAGTGAAAGTGTAACCAATAACATAAGTTGAACTTCAATTCACAAACTTTTAGCAATAATAATAATTAAACTAGTTAAAAAGAACTAGATGCAGTAGTGAGCGTAAGTAAAATGAGACTGAAAAACAAGTGAAAGTGTAACCGGTGACATGAATTGAACTTCGATTCACGAACTTTTAACTTTTAACAAATATATCAGAATAATAATAATTTTAACCTGTGTTTTATAAAAGAACTCGATATATTAGTGAACGTAAATCTGGAAAAGATACGAGGTCGAATGAGTGAAAAGTGAATGCGACCGCGTGTAATTATACAGCCGTGTTCATACACCTGAAGATGACCTTTTAAGGTCGAAACATGTAGTGATATGTGATAATAAAAAACGTGTTGTGTAGTTGGTAAATTCACTCTACTACTGATAAAATTAAAGAACTGCAGATTCCATATCTGCTGAACAATAAGGTCATTAAACTGTGATGATCTGGGATGTGATAATCTGTAGTTTCACAGATAGGTACCGTCTACTTGGCAATATAGCATTGAATCCTAGAAGACTACATGCAGTCTTAATTTTCATAACCATCAGAACATTAAACCTCATATAACAGTCTGTGTACCTGCTTCATTACCACAGCAGGTGAACTAAAAAAGAAACGTTTAAATAAATTAAAAAGAAAAATGGTCATCTAAAACCTTTTACATCCTTCCTGTTGCATCTGTTTCCTATGAGATTTATGCAGCATTAAAATATAAATACTGAAGAATGATTCAACTACTCAAATTTGATGAAAGAATGGGGAATTAATCAAAGCTTCTCTTCTTGCATAGAAAAATCCTTACATTAAAAATGTTAGGTTAAATACATCTGCAGATGTGCATATAACAGTATTACCCATACCACATCATCTGGGATCTTGAACTGAAAAAGTGTTAGGCAGCCATTCCTCATCATTGTGTCATCATCTCTATGTGCACTCATACCATTTATTAATGTGCAAATTAGTCTTCGTTTCTCTTTCACTCCAAATATATGCTTCTCCTTGCCCTTCACTATGTAGAATAAAGTAGCACTGGAAAACGAAAACAGATTGAGGTGCTTCCATGTCTGTTCATGAAGAGCTGAGATCTAATGTGCAAAAAACACCTACTCCCTTACCTTCCAGATATCTGGATGTGTTTCTCACCCAGATGTCGATCCATTGCTTCCAACACAGCGTATAAAGCATAACGGATGTTTTGACAAGTCTCATCTCTTAAGAAACGATATAGATCATTCAGAACTTTCTGAAGGACAGCTGGTCGTTCAATGTATGCTACAGCCGCCACCAAAATCTGGTCTTCATTTGCATCACCAGAGACCTGAAATAAAATCCTCACAGCTTTCCTTCATTTCCTCAATTACCTTGTATTATCACAGCATGGTATTTCATTCAAACTGACCATTTTGGCTGGTATATCATGCCGATGGCAAGCATCATGGTGGGTACCGTAGAGCCCTAAAAACTCGAGTGGGTTGAGAACTCTAGAACTGAGGCCAGGAATATCTGTCTGAGGTACATATTCCTGTTGCTGATATTTTGACGCTGGGCAACGCTCTGCAACTCCTAGAGAGAAACATTTGATGTGCAGGAATGAAAGAATCTACTGCTGAAATGAATGGCATTAAAGAAGTAATCATTTGCATGAGGAGTCAACAAATACCAAATGCTGTGTTCAAACATCTCCTGGAGTTCGTGTGTGAACAGTTTCAAAATTCTTCGCTTTCAGATTTGATTCCACCATGCAAACCATAGCTTGAGGTGATGATAAAACCTGTAGCCTTTCTGCTCGAAGTATATCATCAGTTTGTAGAAAAGTACATAAGAGTTGTGATTGGCATAACTAGTAAATATTAACTGATTCCAACCAATCCAAATTACTACAGGTGCTACTACAGAGCACAGGTGCTCTGGCCTGTGGAGAAGTGGATTACCAATAATCTTGTTATCAATATCTTTTGTTGGCTTAGTGACGTCTGCCTTAAGTCACAGTCCTTTCCTCTACATAGAGCAATAAAGCAGTACATCAGCCACTACTTGCTTTAAATTGAGAAGGGCTGATGCCCTACCTTTTTGCTATCTCGTGTGCATTGAAATGCGATATTTCGTGCAAGGCACTTGGTGCCATTATTGTGCAAACCCCTTAATATACTGAAGCATCTCATCCTCATGTTAAGGAAAGTTTCCACTTTTTGGCCCTTGAAACGCTTTCCTTGATTTATTGGTAGTTTGTAGTGGACACCTTTCTGTTCCTCCAGTAGCACACACTACATTCCAACATGGCAAATTCATGACCAGTTGCTTCCTGCCAATTTTTCTACATATTCCATTATTCTAAATTTGAAATCTGCTGTATAGCTTAAATATAATTAAATATTCCCTTCACACAATTGCAAAAATTCTCCTCTCAACCAACACATGCTAGAACTGGATATGAATTGTGAATATGCAACAGTTGCACAGAAGGTAGTGTGGGTAAAGTTAGAAAATTCTTGGGTTACAGAACTTATGGTGCAATCTGATGCCCATAAGGCTCCTCAACTATAAGTGCATGATCAATATACAAATGGAATATTATGAATCAGCTTTAAACTAACAAGAAATATATTGTGGCATATTGACCTCTTTCTAAATGGTTGCTATGTAACACCTGCAACGTACACACAAGCAATAATAGAAGAACTATTTTCTATGTGGTCCACGCCACAGTTGTGTCTCGGCAACGGCTTGATAAACACATCCCCACTGCTAGGCAGTTACAGCACTTAGGCTACAATGGAAACGAGGTGTTTTCTACGTGGTTTGAACCGAGATGTTAAACCAGGACAATTTGGAGAATCAGTTTAGGTGTGAGGCAGTGGCCAGACAGCAATGGCATGAGCATGGAAGCTGAAGAATATCCACTGTGGTCAATAAATCCATTCACCAATCCAAACTGTCTACAGTCACCTCTACATGTGACAATGTGAAGTACTGAGGATTTTTCCTCAATTTCATAGAGAGAGATCGGTGTGTGAATTATGTGAAGGAAACAATTAAACAAGTAAATATTGTATTTTATCAACAGCAGTTTCAGTTTCGGTCTCAGTTTCTTTGTTAACATCAACGTTACAGTAATATTCTCCTGTAATATTTATCCTTACTGGGAGATTTTTTCTTTTCAATTGTTTCTTTTTCCCCTCAAATCATTCACAGAAAATCTGGCTTTCTAAAAACAGTACTAAACTGCTTCTAGCGACACTTATTCATTTGCTTCTGCTAGTGAAATACCATATCAAGCACAAAACAGAGTTTGTAAGCCTGCTGGCCAGGAGTAAATGCACAAGGCATTTCAACTTCGCACATTTTATAACAGTGGTTCTCAACCTTTATGGGACCGCGGCCCAGTAAGTTCTTTTTTTATAAGACAATGGCCCAGTCCCAACAAATTTACTCGTAAATACCTTTCTAGTTTTGTTAAAGCTCATGTATTAAGTTAACGTAATATTAGTAATTAATTACAGCATAATCATAAAGAGTATTAGTACACTTATGTATATGGTGTGGCATGTTGACAAGCATAAAATTACATTTAAATTAATTATCAATCACTGGACTAATGAAATCTTGTAGCATTTTGTAGTTTCCTCAGATCAACATCATTAAATTAATCTCTGCTAATTTTCATTGACATATCCCATGCTGATCACCAAAAACTTATGTTCTTCAGCGTAAAATTCATTATTGTATTATTAAATTGGTTTTATTGATGTTGGTTTGAAAAAAAATGGCAGTGAGAAAAATATTTATGCATTGTAACTCACCACAGAAGTCAGCTGAGTAGGGGAAGAAGCAGAAGGATGTCAACTTGCCGGTGAAACACTTATTATCACATAAACACGGCAAATAATTATATATGTAAAGTATGTAATCTGATAAATAAAAATGTATGAATCTCTCAATTCTAAACACTACTTCCAACACTAATTTATATTTTGATTTTAAAGACGCAGCACTTTAACACAGCAATTATAAGTTATTGGAAAGTTAAACTTAGTTTCTTTTATCACAACTGAGTTTGGAAGGTTTTAGTTAGACTAGTGAGACTTCTGTTTCTGTTTTCCATCCGTTAGCTTATTAATTCTGGGATTAATTGAAGTGAGAGCCAAACAGAGACAGTCAGAAAGTTGCGGGCAGTTCCTCTGTTTTGTTTTAAGCAGAGTCATGGCAGAAAATGCAGTTTCACAAAGATATGTGGTGGAAAAACAAAAAAGAAACCTCATTGCTATTTCATGTAAATTTGCATATTCATTTTTCATTCTTATCCAGGATTTCGAATTACTCGTAGTATTAAAAATACTTTCCAGTCCTTTGTCCGATGATAATTCAATAAGTTTAAGGGTTTCTTCATGGGAAAGGGCTGTCTCTTTGTGTTCAACAACAGAGTTCACAATCCATATATTTTGCCTCTGGGGATCCTCATGTTCGGGATAATATTTTTCAAACAACAACAACAACAACAACAGCCAACCGGTTCTTCTTGTTTAACCACCACCTCCGTGCCACTGACCTACAAGTTACCTGGATTCACTGGCCGATATCCCCCCCTTTCGCCCCCCCAGACCATATATGGACTTAATCGCTGTTCATTCTTCCCATTGGTCCCACCTCCCAACCCCCCCCCTGCCTATTTCATATATAAACCAGCACTGTTCACTTCCAAATCATTGCTGCTACAGCTATCTCTATTCGCATGCATCTCAAATACCCTGAACATGAAGGCGGTATGTTCCTCCAAAACGTCGGTTAAAACGAAGAATACATGGCGCCAGATCCCGGAAGACGACTTTCTTCATATTAAGCCAGAGTTTGAGTTTCTTTTTGAATGATTCAATCTTGTTCCACACATTAAATATTGTGGTATCTGGACCTTGAACTTTTAAATTCAACTCGTTCATGTAAGAAAATATGTCGCTGAGATACGCCAGCCTGGCTACCCATTTCTTATCCTGGAAATAATGGGACAGGTTACTTTTCTTATCAATTGGAAAGAGCTCAACTTCCTTTCGGAATTCATATAACCTCTTGAGAACTTCACCACGGGACAACCAATGAACTTCCGAATGGAAAAGAAGATTTTGATGATCAGAGCCCATTTCATTGCACAATGCTTTTAACAGTCTTGTATTTAAAGCACTGTTTTTATATAATTAATAATCTTAACAGACTGAGACAGAACTTCATTAAGCTCAGGTGCCATTTTTTTGGAGGCTAGGTTTTGCCTATGAATGTAGCAATGCGTTGACACTAAGTTATTGCCTGCCATATCCTTAATTTTAGTGACCAAACCTGAGTTTCTACCTGTAGTGCAAACTCCATAGCAATTTTTCCCGTCGAGACCTCTCTCTTCAATGAAACCATTTAAAACTTTAAAAATTTCATTGCTGGTAGTGTGCGTAGGTAATTCAGAAACACTTAAAATGTCTTCCTTCATGTCACTCTCTTCATGGTCAATATATCGTACATACATAAGTAAAATGCTGCTGTTCTGAATATCTGTAGATTCGTCCAGTTGTAATGCAAACAATTTCGATTTTCTAATTTTTTAAATGACTTGCGTTTCTGTATCTTCTGTCATATCAGATATCCGCCTACCAACTGTATCATTCGACAATGGGATGTCTTTCATTTTACTTGCCGCAGACTGGCCTAATACTTCATCACAAGCAGCAATCAAAGAAGGCTTAATGAGTGCTTCCCCAATGGAATATGGTTCTTTACATTTAGCTATCTGTAGTGATATTAAATAGGATGCCGTCAGAAGTGAAGTGTCAGTGGTTGAAGCTTGGTAAATAATTTTCTTTTCTACTTTAAGTGCATCTCTTTTACGCACAAAGAATTCAATGGGTTTGTTGACTAGATTGGAATGTCTTGTGTCGAGATGTCGGGTTAAGTCGCGATGGCTTCATAGCTTCATTTCCCAGAACAGTAGCACAAATGACACATTGAGGTCGTGGCAATTGGTCAGTGTTAGGGCATTGTATGAAACCAAATTTTAAGTAGTTGTCTATGTACTTACGAATGGATGGAGACTTTTTCTTCTGTGTGCTGGTGGTTTTCCCTTCATTTTGTACATCATGGAGATCGCTATGTAGGCTTGAGGTGGATGAATCACTACTTGTTGCGTCACAAACACCTTCAATACAAGATCTCTTAACACCAAAATTAAACATAGTCCCCTATCTCTTATTCATATTAACACTTAAATCACTCAGGTTTCGAAACAAGCACTTACACACTGCAGTATTCAGTATCACTAGATTTGAGAACCGGATACAGACTGCCTTGATCTTCAATTTCAGTAGAAACATTTTCTTTATACTTCCTTGCTGGTTGGTCACTGACATTTGCAACACGGATGTTATTTCGCTCAGTTCTGAGAACAGAGGATATGCCGCCCATTGTTGTAATCGGCTTGCAGGTAATTTTTATGACTGGTCATAAACATCGGTATTGCCTTTCCGGAATGTTGAAAGAGTTGGATGTCTGAAAATTCCCAATCATTCATGAATACTTCCATGTTTAAAAATATGCGGCTTGGTCACTGACATTTGTTACACAGATTTAGGTGTTCTGTGTCTGAGCTTCTCGACACAAATATTATTCTCCTCAGAATATTTCCACTATAAAATATTTATTCATTAAAAATGCTTAGAAAATGAAAATGACAAATTCCAGAAGAGCCTCTCGCGGCCCAGTATAATTGATGCCAGGGCCCACTACTGGGCCGTGGCCCGGCGGTTGGGAAGCACTATTTTACAATGCCTTTGTCCATGGGTTGAGTTACCCTCATGGTGCTGGACAAGAACTGTGCAATACGTACACTGGACAATTTAATAGGAAAACAAGAAGTTGAATTAACCAAAAACAACAGAACATTCCACTTCTGTTGTTTCATTCTTGTAACTGTCAACCATTCCTCCACAACATGGGAAAATGGTCATCCATATTTTCTGTAAAGGTCCCAGATGATGGGAACTTTCTTAAAGTCGTTGTTCTTAAAATATTATGGCAAACAGCCCTACCTATAAACACAGATTTTTCAACCTCTCCGTTCACATGAGAACAGAGGAAAATTGCTGATGTCCCTTTTGAAAGTTTTGTACAGGAAAAACTTTCACTTTTCAAACATATTTTTTCTTGGTAATGCATGAAATACCAATCCCATCTGAACACCATTTGCAATATTCTTTGGGTAGCATCCATCCATAACAAAATACAATTTGGCTGCCCAGCCTGCTGTAATTTCTGTAACTGGTTCATCACAGATGTCATTTAAAGCAATTAATGCCTCTTCCTGATATTTTCTAACCATACATTAGACATTTCCCCAGCTTTTCAATCACATGTTTCTTATCTTCATCTACCACTGGTCCAGATATTTGAATGTTTCCAGCCATTACACTCTCTCACTGTTATCTTCTTTTCCAGATTACCTTACTTTCTGTTTCATCGAACCTGTATTATAATTCAGCCACTCGCTCTTAAGATGCTGTACACTTGAGTTCTTCCAACATTAAAAATTGTCACAACTTGTTTTACCATCAACTTACCTTGTTTTTACTAACTTCAAACAAGTTAAGGAATAATGGGAACACAGGACATCCCCGTATTATCTCTGATTTACATGTATTTCCTTATTGCCCGACAACGTACCCTCGTAAGTTTTCATCCTTGTGTTAAAATACCAACTTTGAACAGTTTTAACTATACGATTAGGGCATTCTTTCTTTGTCACTGCATTCCAGTGCTGACTTGCAAGGCACTCTATCAAACACCTTCACAGAGTCTATAAACAATATACATGTAGGTTTGCCTGTTTAAAAATAAATTATTTCTACTTGTACCCAAAGACTTTTATACATATCAAACTGCCTAATAAAACATCAATGGCAGACCACCCATAATCATCAAGGTATCTCAATGGGGTAAATGTAGATGCAAGTGCAAGCAGAGAGCCGTTAAGGTTTCAAGGAGTTAAAGACCGTAACATATTTTCTGTTACCATGACCTGTTGAGTTATGTGCATTTCTGCTGATGAAATTAAGCAAAAGTGAGGTACACTGGAACCTCGCTTAACAAGAATAATTCATTCCAGACTCTTACTCGTAATGTGAAACAATTTTTCCCCTATAAATTAATGTAAAATACGATAATGCGTTCCAGGCCGAAAAAAAAAAACTCAAAAAATTTTATGTATAACGTTTATTCAAAGAAAATTATATATACATTGTTAAGGAGCGTGAATCATCTTCATCTTTTTTCTTCTATGCGGAATGAACCAACCTGGAATGCAAATTCCATTTGCAGCAAACAAAAAAAAAATTGAAATAATTAGTTTATTATTTATGATACATATCTAATTCTTTTTTGCTAGAAAGCTGTCTAGAGATGTTTGTTTTTGCCGACGCTTCAAAATTTGGTGAAAATGTGACAGCATTATCATTAAATAAATTTGTAGCGCGCATAGCCACTGCCTTATTAGGGTGATGCTTCCCAATGTATGATGCAACAGTTTTCCATGCTTTCAGCATTTCTCTTATTGCACCAGAAGATTGCTGCTTTGCTGTTACCTCCTCCTCCTCCTCTGACAAACTCTCCTCCATAGCTTCTTGCTGTGAAACACAATGCAACTCCATAAGCTCTTCGGTGGCCAGCTCTTGGCTGTGCTCTTCCATAAGCTCATCGATATCATTGTTATCCACCTCCAGCCCCATGATTCTGGCCAAACACACGATCTCGTTGACTACAGGCTCCACAGGTACTATCTCAAACTCCTCAAAGTCACATTCGACAACTCTCTCTGGCCAAAGCTTCTTCCAAGCAGAAGTGAGGGTTCTCTTGGTAACCCCTTCCCACGCCTTTTCCATCATCTTGAGGCAGGCAACGATGTGGAAGTGATATTTCCAAAACCCTCTGAGTGAGACTGATCCCTTCAGTCACCTCAAAACAATGCTCGAAGAGTGCTTTAGTGTACAGCTTCTTAAAGTTAGAAATAACCTGCTGGTCCATAGGCTGGAGTAACGGAGTGGTCTTGGGAGGCAGAAACTGAATCTGGATGAATTTAAATTCTTCAAGGTCATCTCGTAGATCTGGAGGATGTGCAGGAGCATTGTCCATAACAAAGTGGCAGATTCATCTCATTTCTGCAAGGGTTATTAAACTTTGCACACAAAAAAATCACAAATAATATGTCTGAACACAAGTTTGGAAAAAATGTGTGATCACGAGCAACACTAAGATGCTAGCGGAACGAGTGCTAAACACAGACTGATGTAGCAAGCGCACAATCTGGGACTTCCGCTCTCGTCACTCGTTATGCGAAACGTCACTTGTTAAGTGAGTCATTTTTTACACTTTGTTTTGCTCATTCCGCGAATTACTCGTTATGAGAGGTGCTCGTTAAGCGAGGTTCCACTGTATTATTCTTTCCCCACTTCCACTGAAATAGAAGTTCTGTGTTGACAGTTCACTGTGATCAGTGTAGTGTGGTATTACATACCTGTTCCTGCTAAGTTTGTCCCAGAAATATCTAGTGATGTGAGGTGAGGAAGGCTCTCAACAAGCATTGCGAGCATGTGGTTCTCATTCCTGAAAGTTACATTTTTCTCCTTCAACTGTGAGATATCCAGATGCCTGTGGGCAGTAACAAAGCTTTAGTACTCGAACACACCATTAAAGAGATCATCTCAGGATATAAATATAAGTATGACACATAATAAAGAATGTCTTTACAGCACAATGACCAGTTACCTGTTCCTCCTTTATCTGAATGTTTTGACATATATAATATAAATAATATAATATTTTTGTATTTTGCCAATACATTTGTAGCTGGCGAGAGGCTGAAGTTGATTGGTTTACTCTAATTCAATTTAAACTACATTCTTGCTGAGTCTATTAATATTTGTCCACCATGTTTTCCTGTGTTAACCTACACTCAAATATCACCTGTGCACTGTGCTTCTTCAATACTGACACTTTTAACATTTCATGTTAAAATTTGCCGATTTTACAGATCTAGCGGATTTAAAATCCCTATTCCCATACGAGAAAAGTAATAAAATGTTAATTTTTCTGTAACTGTGACTGTACATCACATCATGTGGGTGCATGGTCAAGCACATAGTCTTCACATTAGTTACATGAGTGGGTTGAAAAAACGTCCACTGGTACTTGCCCAAAAACCTGCCAGTGCCACTCTCTCCATCACAAATCCCCGTATTGACTACCTTTGGACTGAACTGGGCTTTCACATTGAGAAACCAATGACTATCCATCTAAACTAGAGCACAAGCCTTCCACATAATAAAATATAATGCAAATCCAATCTTCCTAATTGTACATACTATCCACATGCAGACTCCTTAAATTTATACAAATTATGACTGAAGAAAATGAAACTATCATTCAGCACACTTATAATAACAAAAAATTACCTTAAGAAGGCAATTCTATAAACTCACCTCAGATTCACTAGCTTACAGAGAGAACCAACTGCACCTTGCAACCACTGAACATTATACAGTATTAGAGAGATGAGGTTCTTTAGCTCACACAGATATGACAGGTCTCCTAAATCAACACATTCTGACAAATCAAGGTATGTTAAGTTACGAAGAGGACGCAACAACAATGGAAAATACATCTTCTCTCCTTTTACAATAAAGTGCCTCACAGCCAGACGTCGTAAATTTGGAGTTTGTAATATGTATCCCCTTCTGTGGTAAGCACTGTCCTGCAGTGTGCTCGGAAGCAGACGAACTGAAGAGCCAATAATGAGTGACAGCAAACTATTGCCACAATCGTTTATGTGCACCAACGAACTTTCTGTTATGTTGGAACAGTTATCAATAACCAATTCTATTAACTTCTGGTTTAGGAGAGTACACAATCCATCGTCTGTAATGCTAGAGTTTCTTAAGTGGACTCTCTGAAGCCTTGCTGTCTGTGGGTTTTGAAAAATATTTACAAATCTGTCATCTAAAACATGGCCACCTTGCTGGTAAACATGCAGAATTTTTTCACAGATTTCAACAGGAAGAGCAAGACCATCTTTCAGCCTATAATTCTTTGTAAAGGGATCAATGGAACATATAGTATCAAGATGACCAACCACATACTTCAAGCACAATTCTAATAATGTTTCTGGTGCACTATCCTTACACACAGTCAGGAAAGGCAGCATAATCATGGGGACTTTTGTCATCCAACTGCAAATTCAAAAACATAGAAAAAGGTTAGAGATATATATACAGAATCCCTAAAAATATATACACCTTTTCTACATTCATAAAACATGTACAACTAATGGTCTGGCACTGTGGTCACTCTCTTGACTCATACTTTGAGGTTGCTTAGTTCAAATCTTGGCCAGGATATTGGTTATCTTAACAAAGGTCTTTTGTGATTTCTTTCAGTACCTACAAGAACATGTTGTGATAGTATCTCAATTAGGCCATTCCCACTTATTTATTCCTCATTCATCTGACCCGTATGATCCCTGGCATTTTAACACTGTGCATTTCAGGCGATCATATCACCTCCATCTTCAAGGTCAAAGAAATAGCAGTGCAAGAAACTACAAGAAGCAGGAAGCAAGCTGGTTGCTATCTATTTCCACTGGTTTCTTGCATGGTTATTTCTTTGACCCTGAAGATGAAGGTGATACATTCCTCTGAAATGCTGGGCTTTTTCCAAACTGCTTTGTGTTACGACACAAACAACTGCACTCCTCATAGTCACTGGTGTAAGAACTTCAATTCCATCATTCACCTACCATCATCATTTGATGATATATAGTCTTGCTACTAAAAGCATCATGAAATTACCCACAAGAAATAATCAAAATATTGATATCAGCGCAATATTTAACAACAGAAGGAGCTAGATGACACTGGTTTTCTGTGTAATGCTGATAGACTCAAGAACACTTAAACTGAATCTCAAGACTTCACTTGACATATGAGGAATACAAGTGGTTTTGTGTTAATGGGAAACTAGGAATGTGAAAGTGATACAGAGACTTTGGATAAATTAGCCTGAAAGTGAACCAGCAACACATTTAAACATCTCAACCAAGAGTTTAAATGAGGCACAAGACTGTAAGATGCTCTGAATAATCTCACAAGTAGACCACAGTGGAAGTGTTATATTTTCACACTATGCCCTACAAAGTCTCTGAAATGTTCTTGTGAGACTAACGTCTGCAAAACCATACATCAGTGAATTCTGCATACAGCATAACAGACCATACTTATACAGATCACTGCAGTGTTTGTATTTTGTGGCTGGTTTTTACACAATAGCAATTAACCCTTTTCACTTTTCAAATTCTCACTTTTCACATTTTATCATGGTATCAATCACCACATTGTCTATACTGTCATCAGAAAAAGAAAGTCCATGTGGCCGAAGAGAAACCAGTTACTCCATTAAAGTTAGTGTTGGCACTAAATTTGGGTTTTTGTATTTTCTTTATTTGTGATTTTTGTTGATTTTGTACTGATTATTAATTGGAATATGTTGAATTTTATTTATTTTTGTGACTGTGTTTTATTCAAACATTTAAAAAAATGGCTTAATTTTTGCCTTGTACTGAGCTGTAGTCTGTCCAGATTAGTCACTGGACATTTTTCTCTGAGGGCTGTTCGTAAAACTTCCTACATATGAATGCTATAGAACATAATGATACATGCACTGACAATATACACACCAATAAAGTGAAAAACAGAGCATTATGGCATTGCCACAAACTTGAAGGATTTCATAAACAAATCTGGAACATGGATCAGAAATAAAGGAAACCTCAACACCACTTCGATATCGCCTGTGGGGGTACTCCGAAGCACAATGTATGCCAGGGAGTCAGCAACACTATTCAGATTGAATTTTCCTTTAAAGATATTTTCACAATATTCATATATGCATGCCCGCCTAATATGCCATTGATGTCAATGACACACTGACCTGACAGTGGGCATTTGGAACGTTTATAACGCAGTAACATTTCCTGACACTGAATTAATGTTTTACAGAAATAGGTGCATAAACGTGTACACGTTTTGGGGCAGTCTGCACATACAAACAATTATTACGCAAAAATATTCACATTCTACTCAGATTAACTAATCATATAAGTAATCGTCAGATGGTAATTCCATTCGCATAAGACGGAATTTGAAACTTAAGACTTCAGCAGGTCACTGTCAAATGTTTTATAAATAAGACTAAATTTAATACATCTTGAACAAATTCCTAAAGTCTAACAACAAAGTGATATATACCCTTTACAAAATAAATTAAACTCGCGTGTTTTATATTCATAAATTAAATTCGCACTTCCGACCACTACACACTAGGTAAACTCCACTTCCTACAAACGCACATGCACAACTGCCTTCTTGAACGTTCATGAACTCATGAGTTCATTTTGGTCGTGCAACCTATTTTCATATACTCACTGCTCATGTTCATGAGCGTTCATGACACTTCAACTAACGTTTACAGTGGTTCTATCAGCGTACAAATTGGCCTTGTTCAGAAATGGGACATGAGTCAGTGGCATTTGTTTCTAACGATCGGTAGCATGCCAAACGCAAAGTAATAATCATACCGGGGTTGGGAGAGACACTCCTGACTAGCAGTATAGCTAGGATTTGAGGGATCTGAGGTTCACACAGCGACGGTTACGAAGATTTCAGAGAAACGCGTCGCCTTCTCCTTTAGTGCTGAAGAAAATGACCGAGGTCACACCAAGGAAACTAGCAACCACAACGCAACCGCGATTTCTGAGAATTGTTATCAGCCTCAGTTGCACACATGTAACTCAATTCAACACCGACAATTGTGGAAACGGCAACGCAACTCGCGGAGAGACTGAGTAACTCAATTTTCTGGCAACGGAGCATGCCAGCCTTCTCACAAAAGCATAGCCGCGTGGTTTCCTAGTATCAGCTGTTCTCAAACGCGCACGAGTGATTCATTTGTTCGTTAGCAAGAAAGGTTGACGAAGCTGCTAATTGTGTTTTTTCTGCCGTTAACTGAGCAAAAGCTTGGTATATATAACAAATGCCAACCAGACTATGCAAGGTGGGACAAAATAGATTTGTCTTGGGAAAGAATTTCTCTTGAGACAAAGCAGTGTGGATCCATGTTAAGTTCTTTTGAAATAATATAAGCACTTCAGTTTAAATTGCCACAGAAGAATGGATGCAGCCATAATTTCTTTTCCTAATATTGTATTGTCACGTGTTGGGTGTATAACGCGACAAATAACTTCACGCCGTATTTGATATAGCGAATTTTATTGATTGATTGATTGATTGATTGATTTATTTCGTCACTGTAGATCATTGTACATGATATATGACAAGTCAAGTTAATTCTGAATATTAACAATTTGATATATAAGTAGATTAAAATTACAATAGTTACAATTTTTTACATTCTTATTTGTGGAGAATTTGATGGAATGAACATTGGCAGGGGAAACCGAAGTACTCGGAGGAAACCTGCCCCAGCGCCATTTTGTCCATCACAAATCCCACTTGCTCAGATCACAGTGGTGGGAAGCCAGCGACTAATCGCTTAAGCTATGGCGTGGCCTTAGAATAATGATATTGATAGCTAATGTGATGTTCTCAGCAGATTGGTGCCCTTCTTGATGGCCTGGTATTCTCTATCTCTCTCTAAGCGGCCTACGTAGACGTCCCTCCATCTCATGATGTCCTTTCTATCACATCCAACATGGTGTCTTGATTCCTTTAAGCAGAAGAGAACTGCGCAGTATACATTCATAGCATGCTGGTATAAGCTCAACAAGTCACTTATTCTTGAATTATCTGGTAATATTGATATTAACTAGGATTTATCCCCAAACAAGAAGAATTCATCTATACTATAAAAACAATGTTCAAGGAGAAATGTTTTCAAAGTCTTTTTAAATTTGTATAGTGCTGGTATGTCCTTTATATATTGCGGCAAGTGGTTTAAAAGACGAAGTCCAATATTATTGAAGTTGTTTTTACACAGACTCGTCCTACATGGAACTATGAATAAGTTGTCTTTTTTTCTTGTATTGTGTGAGTGTACTGCTGAATTAGTGATGAAAACATTCAAGTTGGATTTCATGTAAACTAATATTTCATATATATACAGACTTGGTAGAGGTAATATATGTAACAATTTAAAATATTGTTTGCAGCTGGTTGTTTTTTGTATTTGCATTATAGTTCTAATAGCTCTCTTTTGTATCTTAAAGATCAATTTTGCATTCGCTGAATTGCCCCAGAATATCAATCCATATGATAGCAGGGATTGAAAATACGCATAGTATAAAGCAAGAACAGTCTCTAATCCTGATACTTTTTTGACTATTCGCAAGCCAAAACATATTTTACATAACTTACTTGCTAGTGTTTGAGTATGTGTGGACCAGCTTAATTTTTTGTCTAACGACATTCCCAAAAATTTGGTATGTTCTGTATAATTGATGACTTTATCATATAGTTTTATTGGTGGGCATTCTGGCTGTATTTTTTGTGGTTGGTGAAAGGATATTGCTATCGTTTTTTCTTTATTAATAATTAATCTGTTACTTTCAAACCATTCTGTGAGTTTATTTATTAATGCGTTTATTTTCCTTTGGACAACATTAACACTATTTCCTGATATAAAAATACTTATATCATCGGCAAAAAACGTTAGTTTTCCTTGTTCAATACCTGCTTCTAGATCATTAATATATAGCAAAAATAAAATTGGTCCAAGAACAGAACCTTGTGGGACTCCATGTCTTACGGGTCTACTCTGAGATAGATAGTTAATGCTTACATTCGCTTCTCTACATCTATATGTGATTTCCACTTTCTGTTCTCTTCTTTCTAGATATGTTTGAAACCATTTTAGTGCAACCCCTCGTATTCCCATTCTTGTCATCTTTCTTAGCAATATGTCATGATTAACTAGGTCAAACGCTTTTGACAGATCCAGAAATAGCCCTATACTTACTTCTTTCTCATCTTGCGATTTATAGACCCCTTCTATGAACTCTGCAATTGCTGTTTTTGTTGTTTTTCCTTTGCAAAACCCATGCTGTTTGCTACTAATTAAATTGTGTTTATTTAAAAAGGATAAAAGTCTTTTATGCATAATTTTTTCAATTATTTTTGAAAAAACAGAAATTAGTGATACTGGTCTATAATTCGCAACATCACATTTCACATTCGCTCTTACAATCACACAATTTACAGATCCACAATTACTGCAATTTGCAGTATTACAAATACTAGACTGCGTACTCTTCACTGGCCAACTCGTAACTACACTGGTGTCAGATGTGGTTACGAACTTACACGTGACCGTGAGTAATAATTGAATTGTTGTGCATCGAGTACTTTACTGCAACAAAATGGAGATGCAGCGAATAATCGAAATGCTGGCGAAGGCAGATGCCGACCGAGTGCATGTGCAAGACAGAATGGAGGCCAATAGAAGAAAAGACAAAGAAGATTTAATGGCCAAATTAGACGCCAATCAAGAAAAGGCGGCGACCGATAGGAAGACAGACAAAGAAGAGCTAATGGCCAAATTAGACGCCAATCAAGAAAAGGCGGCGGCCGATAGGAAGGCCGACAAGGAAGAAATGAAGGCCGCAATGCAATCTATGCTGTCAGAGTTGGATGACACAATCCAACATAGAATTGAAAACATTTTCGCGATCTTTGAACACGACAAATTAAATCTCCAGGAAGAACTAACGAATGCCTGTGCATCAATCGAAGAAAACAAACACGATTTCCAGGCCCGGTTGGACATAGTACAGATGAAGGCCGAGCGGGGAAATACATCAACGATCGTCGCGAGCACAGCTCAGCCACCGACATTCAACGGGAATTCAACGTGGAGCGTGTTCCGGCGACAATTTGAGACCGTAGCAGAACACAACCAATAGTAGGACCGGGAAAAATCGACATACCTAATTACTGCCCTGAAGGGTCGGGCGGCGGAAGTACTACCCGGCATTCCGACAAATACGGCTTACGAGGAAACACTTCAGGAATTAGAGGACCGCTTCGGGGACCAACACTTTGCAGCTGCTTACCACTGCCAATTAAGAAGAAGGACGCAGAAACCTGGAGAATCCTTGCAAGATTTTGCCACGGTCATTGTACTGCTTGCCCTTCGTGCCTACCACAATCTACCTGCTGACCACATGCGAAGAGAGGCATGAAAAGCGTTCGTATACGGAATACGAGATGCCGATATAAAGATTCAGCTGCTGCTGGGAGGGGAGAAGGCAGTAAGTGAGGCCCTCCGACAAGCATTAGAGCTGCAGGCGGTACTGGTAGCAGCTAGACCTCACGAAGATAACACAAAGACCTACCGGAAATTCCGATCATCCCCGACCCAACGAGGAGGCGCTCAACAGTCCAGCAGCTGGACCTTTGAGAGCAATAGCCGCTACGGCAGAGGAAGTGGCAATAGACCGCACCAGGACCGAAAAGAAGGACCTCCAAGAAATAAGCGGGAATCGCCGGGGAAATCAGAATGGCGACCCGGAAACAACAGGGAAACAAGCTGGAGAAACGACAAGCCGTCGGGAAACGAGCGACGGCCGGCGGAGAAGGGCGAACGCAGGCATATGCGTTAAGGCACCCACACTACGCACCCACCGACATCACGGAAAAGGCCAACACCAGCCTGGTCACCCAGGGATGGGTCGGTGATAAGCCGTGCCAGGTGACAGTGGACACTGGAGCATACGTCACGGTAGTAAGACCGGTTTCTGCTGCCGGATGGCCTGAAAGGCAGCCAAATCCAGATTTCACGCTGCAGACCGTGTCTGGAGGATCCCTACCCATTCTGAAAGAAGTTCTGTTGACCCTTACTCCGGGGCGCCGACCGCTAACAATGTGGGTTTTCGTCGCGAATATCACAGATGAACTCATCCTGGGACTGGACATACTGCGCACCTATGATGCGTCAGTGGATATAGGGCGCCAAACTCTGCTCGGGCGGAAGAAGTATTGTTATGGAGTCCTGGGGCAGGACCCCGTCCTTCTAGCTTAGTAGTGGCAAAGGACCATGTGATACCCGCACAGAGCGCGGGAATAGTTATGGCTAAAATGGAGAATCATCTGGGAGTAGAAAATGGTCTAGTAGAACCAAGCCCCCAGGCCCATCCGCCTGATGGAATCTACGTAGCCAGGATCCTAGTTCAGGACTGTCAAGAAGAACCAGTGAGGGTCATGAATGTTAGCCACAAGGACCAAAACTCATGAGAGGATCCCCTCTGGAGCACTGTGAGCCAGTAACACTCGTGGCTTTGCCCGAGGTGGGGCAGCCACCAGCACCAGGCCTAACACTAAAATTGGCGGACGTGACCACATCGGCCAAGCCATACCTAAACTCCAGAGAATTTCAAGAATTGGAAGAACTCGTGGCCGAGTACGCGGATATCTTCGCACAGGACAACGAAGATTATGGAAGGACAAACAAAGTATATCACCGCATAGACACGGGAGAAGCCCGACTAATTCGACAGCCACCAAGGAGGGTACCCCTGGCAAAACAAGCAGAAGTAAAGGAAATGCTCGACAACATGCGAGGACAGGGGGTTATAGAAGAATCGGACAGCCATTTGTCGTCGCCGGTCGTTTTGGTCAGGAAAAGAATGGTGATCTCCGCTTCTGTTTGGACTACAGAAAGCTGAACGACGTCACCAAGAAGGATTGCTTTCCACTACCCCGCATTGACGACACCCTGGACACGCTGGCCGGAGCCAATTGGTTTTGAACTCTCGATTTAAAGAGTGGCTATTGGCAAGTCGATGTACACCCAGACGACAAAGAGAAAACAGCGTTTTCGGCAGGTCAAGGGTTATGGCAAATCATAGTCATGCCGTTTGGCCTCTGCAATGCTCCGGCAACCTTCGAGAGGCTAATGGAGACAGTCCTACGAGGGCTCACTTACGATTCATGCCTTGTGTATTTGGATGAAGTGATCGTAATAGGACGCAAATTCCAAGAGCACATGCTCAACCTACGGAACGTGTTCGAGAGGTTCAGTGAAGCCCGTCTGAAACTTAACCCGGAAAACTGTAAACACTTGCAGGAATAGGTCAGGTACCTCGGGCATATTGTATCACCAGAAGGGATATCCACCGACCCGGACAAGTTGAAAGCCGTGCGAGAATGGCCGACCCCGAAGGATAAACATGAAGTTAGAAGTTTCTGGGACTATGCGCATATTATAGGCGATTTATTTCAGGGTTTTCCAACATTGCGAAACAACTAACTGGACTAACGGAAGAGAAACAGCCCTTCCAGTGGACTCAAGAAGTGGTGGCCGCTTTTCAAACACTAAAGGGTGCCCTATGTGCTGCCCCTATTCTTGCCTACTCACAGCCAGGAGAGAAATTCATTGTGGACACAGATGCAAGTAATGTCGGAATGGGAGGAGTACTCTCTCAAGTATAGGACGGACAAGAGCGTGTCATAGCTCACTTCAGCAAGACGCTGAACAAAGCAGAAAGAAATTACTGCGTAACCCGACGAGAACTACTTGCCATAGTGAGGACACTGGAACATTTCCACAAGTACCTCTACGGACAACAGTTCCATCTGCGAACGGACCACTCTGCGCTTACCTGGCTTATGAGCTTCAAGAACATAGAAGAACAAACTGCGAGCTGGATACAGCGTTTACAGAGTACCACTTTACTTCGGAACATCGTCAGGGCCGGAAACATAACAACGCCGACCCCCTTTCTAGACGACCCTGCAAAGAGCAATGTGTGCACTGCCACAAAGTTGAGACGCGGGCAGAGGTAAAGCAAATACGCGTTATTGGAACCCTATCGGCAGCCGGCTGGGACCCGGTTACCCTAAGAGAGGAACAGCTAAAAGACCCAGACATAGGGCCTATTCTACAGGAAGTAGAAAACGACCAACGACCGAAATGGCAGGACATCGCGGATCGGAGTCCCACGTACAAAAGCTA